CCTTTTTAATATATATAATATTATATTATTTTCATTTAAAATCTAAAAATAGAAATAAAAAAAAATAAAAAGTTATAAAATTATAACTGAATTTAAGTCTTGTTACACTTATTTTTGTGTGAGAAGAAAGATTTAAAATAATATATTTTAATATGTTATAAAAATTAACAATAAATTATATTTTTCAAAAAAAAAAGTTGTTATTATTTAAATTATAAATCAAGATAAAAAATTATAAAATAATAATATATATATTTTAAGTAAAAAAAATAGTAAGTTGTTATTAATTTCTTTTTTGGATGTTTTATATCTTTTTTCTATCTTATTTTTACTTTTTTCAATTCTATTCATATTTTGAGATTCTCCTCTACCTCTAACATAATTTAAAGTGTAAAGATGTGAAATTGGAAAATAAAAAATAAAAACAAACAAACTTCTTCATTCATCTCTACTCCTTCATGTTTCAATAGATAAACTATATATTTAAAATGATCTTTGAGGTTAGTGTATTTAAAGTTATTATTTTTATATTACTTTATTTGAATTATTTTTTATTTTCAATGAGAAATTCAGTATTTTAATTTTTATTTACTCATTCTATTTTTATGTTTAGAAAAAACATTGTATGTTATGAACATTACATTAATTAAAATTATATTGCTTTTAGTTATAGTAATGAAAAGGTATTTTAAAAGAAAATCATCTTCAGAGCAACTATCTTCTCCTTGAACACATGTTGAAAAAGAAGTCAAATTGGGTCCATCAACCAAAAAGAGATTTATAGAATGTGATTTGGAAAGACTTCCTGATGATCCTTGTCTAAGGTCAAAAATTTCAAATTATCATCCAAGTGATAGAGATGAAGTTAGAAGGGATTGGTGATCTTTAATTTCTATAAAGTTTGTGAAGACAAGAAAATATGTTGTATATCCATTGGTATATTTACTTTTAAAGCTAGCCTTGATACTACTAGTGACAACTGCATTAGTTGAAATAGCTTTTTCTGCTATGAATATCATCAAGAATCGGATGCGAAATCATATGAGAGATGAATGATTAAATGATTGTTTAGTTACTTATATAAAGAGAGATATTTTTTATAGTATTGAAAATGAGTAAATCATTCAATATTTTTGAACTATGAAAACTCGTAAAGAACAATTATGATATGTATTTGTCTTTATAGAAATTTTATTTTATATTTTGACAAATTTATATATTTAAATATTACCCCACTACTTAAATTTTCTGGATCCGTCACTGGTTGCCAATGTAAAAAAAACTTACTGACAGTGTATAAGTGATTAACTCTTAATTTAATATACACCACTAAAGTAGTACAAGTAAAAAACTTGGGTTGCATTAAAATTTGAGAACAATAAATAAAAAGGCTTTAGATTTAAGATTAATGAAGTGGGATTTCTTATTTGTTTTTTTGGTAATGGTCTATTTTGCTTATGAATTAGATACTACAAGTGTGAGGACCACTTGATTTGATCTTCACTTTTGATGTTAAACACATTTTGAATAATAAGATAACTATAACCACAGGTCAAAAAAAAAACTTCAACTTCCTTTATGATGTTAAACACATTTGAGATAACTTTACACAATAATGATGACATTAATGTCTTTTGGTAAGTGATAAGAATTGATTTTGCTCTTAAATAAGATCTTCTGTTCCAATATTATTGTATTATAAATGGGGAAAAAAAGTATTGAGAGAGTTTAAGTCTTTTTTAATTGGTCTATCCGAATTGACTCAAATTAGTCAAGGTTTAATATGTTGGCCAATATTTATTAGACAGTATTTCAATTATTGACAATATTTTAATATGTTGGCCAATATTTGTTAGACAATGCTTCGGGTAAGCAATGTATCGACCAAAGATCGACAAAACCCTATCAAAATCGAATAAAAACTTATGGTCAAAATCAATTTAAACCAGTATTTTTTATTATTCGAAAACATTTTTATATAATTAAGTAATCATATATAAGGTCTATATACGAATTGTTATCATTTACCTATTAATTATAAGCTTTGCATGGAGTAACACACGTAATATAATCATTTTTTGCTATAACTTAAAAATTTACCCAAATTAATGTTCTATAATTTATATTAATTTATTATTGAATATAATCTCTAATAAGTAATATGTACTTATCATGAGTAATATTTAGTTTGTTTATCTAAACTCAAAATAAATGTTTCTAAGCGAATGGTTTAAAAAATAATAATTTTTTAAGAAATAAATAGGAGTTGTGTTTTTTAAAAAATAAAAATTCTTTAAAAAAATAAATTTAGAGAAACACTTAAAAAAAGTATTTATTTTATTAAAAAGAAGTTCTTTTAGAAGAAAGAAATTTAAATAAATAGACTCATTTTAAAAAAATAGATCCTCTGTTACATCATTTTTCATAAAAGAGTTAATTATAAAATTAATTTTTTAAAATTATTGTTTATTTATTTATCAATTTATCTTTATTTGTGTTAAATAATTTAAGACAACATTTATTATGGGATGGAGATAATATTATTTTTATATGAAGTTTTTAATGATAAATGGGAACCAAAATTTCAATTGTGCATGAACATCATCGACGCATAAACAATAAAATAATATTTTTAGATATATTATAGTGTAGGTTAAATAATAAACAGAGAACAGTAGTAATTTCTTAAATTTTTACTCTCCTTAAAGTTTTCCAAGATAATCTACTAGAAAAATCCTCAAGGAAGAAAAACAGATAAATAAATTAGTTCTTAAACTAACTACCTTAATATTTTAGGAACCCAACTTTAGGTTTTATCAATATTTTTTTTTACTCAAATTATCAAATATGTAATAGAGTGTTTAATGTTGTAATATATATATATAAACAAGACCCACAAGATTTGGTAGTTGCTTTAAAATGGTTGTCAGATTTTGTATCTAACTTCTCACCTTCTACCCTCCATCAAAATAATGTTCCCAAGGAATGGGCACTTGGTACCCACGAACAGATAAAATAATGCTAATATCAATAAAATAATAATAAATTTTAACATGTGTCGGTGAAGTTGTATTCTTTTGTTTCAGCAATTTTTTAATACATTATAAGTCAGAAAAAAAAAAAAAAAAAAAAAAAAAAAAAAAAAAAAAAAAAAAAAAAAAAAAAAAAAAAAAAAAAACTACGCAATGAAGAAAGGTAAAGGGTTTCTTATAAGTATATATAAAAATTTAAAATAATGAAGAAGGTTTAATACGAACTACTTAATTATACGAGATTGTTGATTAATAAATGATCCATCAAATCAAACATTTGCAATCAAGAGCAGGTAAAGGAAGCAACAGACTCTAACCCGGCCCAGAGTTGAAGGAACTAAAAAAATTATAGGTAAAAATATAATAATTAATTCATTTTCATATTTACCTTTAATGTGAATAACTTGCTGTGTAAGTTTTTAAAATCTAATGTTTTTAAGTTCTAATTTTTACAGTATTTAATTATTGTAGTTAATCACTCAATTGTAGCAGGTCGCGTGATCATTTTTCAGTTTTCTTTATGTAGTAAAATAAATTGATTATTATTTATTATTGTTATAAAAACTCATTACTTATTCGTTGTATCTTTGTATTACAGAGGGCAAAGAGTCTATATATATATAAAGTATTTATTAAAAATATATTTTTCTATTTCTTAATGTTATGTTATTCTTAGTGATTTTTTTTTAACAATCATCCTCCGCTTGAAACAATCTTGTTTAAGTATGATAAAACCATTATGATCAATAAAACTCTTATTATAATAATTTTTATGTTAATTATAATGTTCAAGTAATGATAATTCATGTATTT